TAGTGCGACCCCGTATGCGGGCCTGGAAGGAAGAGTACACCCTCCCTGATCAGACTTGACTAGTCCGCTAGGGGGTGTTTTTTTACAAAAAGATGCACCATTCTCGTTTGACGCACATTGTCCTTACTGCCTGCCATCTTGATTGACGGTGGCTGGACTGACCTGCATTTACCAAGAAAAGCGGTCCCTATGGCAGTCCACTCAGCTAAATGCAGCTATTGTTTCAGATTGTTTCAAATCTGGGTATTTCTAATCTTGGAAATAAAAACAGTCATTAGCATGGTCTAATACCAATTATAAGGGGGCAAATTAAATTCGAGAGGCAGTTCACTCTCACGCTTCCATTTGGGCTTCAGATATGTAGAAGCAACCAGAATAAAGTAGATTAGATTTTTCCAGAAGTTCACAATTAAACCACTCTTTGTTCGAACTTTTAAATTCAAGTCAAGCAAATTGAATATTGTTGTGTTATTCCTCTAAGTCGTTGCTTGTTTAACTATCGGTGTTGCTAACGGGACACTTAGGGCCTCTTCATTGTACATTGTAGCCCCGAGCCCTACTGTAGGTCAACAATAACCATACTACTCTAATATTGTCATCCTTCATCTTCAAGGAGGTCTTAGGTCGCTGCATTGACTGAATCTGATCCTAAAGGACACCTAACCGGATTTCTACCTCTGGGTGACAAGCCTTGACGTAACCAAAGAAGGGCACTACACTATGGATGAAGGAATATGCAAAGACCCCTAGCCGAGGGTTCAAAAAATGACGTCCACCTGCGGCAACTACCCCAGTCCTGTGGACTGCAGGAGAGCTACTAACAACGGAGAAGTTCGTTACGGAGCTGTCTACCATGACGGCATAAAGCAATCACCTATGTGAACCCACGACTTCCCCGCACCTCTCTCCTAGCTGGATAGAACCCAGATAGATTTGGCTGGGCAACAATAGAGTGGGAACAACGTGACAAGGGAGAACAGACGTGAAACCCTACCCCCGCGGAATGATTGATAAACTGGTCCTTTGTTGTCTGACTCTGCTTTTAGGCCAGTGCTCCTACGACTAGTGGTGGACGACGGTGGAAAGAGGGGAGGGGCTAAGCAATACGTTATTTGCTTACCTCTCAGTTTTGGTGACAGGCCACCCAAGGCTCCAGCACTGTACCTACGCGGGGTGGCCTGACCTCCGAGCCATATCAGTAGCTCCACGCCCTACTTGTAATCTTTGAAGAATTCCTAATACCCGCTTTGTCAGATTTTGATGCCAAGTTGGGAGACGCTTGCTCCCAACGGCATTAATTCTACGAATAAATTTCGGTTTGTCCAAAGGAGGCGCATTGTGAAAATTCATCGACGTTGCACCTCTCAAGACCGATTGATATTCCATCCGTTCGTCGAAGTTCGTTAAAGTTTAGTAGGAAACATGTTAGATTAGCAGAATACGTAAGACTAATATTCAGTGCCAATTCCTTCTTGTCACCTTTACTTCCCGATTCAATACCACCCGACCACTTACCTGACTTCTAAGCCAACTACGTTGAATGCGGGGCAGACATTACCTATTCTCGCCATTCAGTATATCTCCACAAGGGATGTTTTCGGGTGGTTAAAATCGGGCTTCGAGGCTCATACTTAAGAGCCCAAGCTCCAGCTCATTATCAAAATACAACGCGGCTTCGACAGCGAAATCTGAGCGACTTCTAGTGCCTCACAAATTGTCGCCCTAAGTATAGTGCCTGGGATCAACCTGAAGGGGGTTTTAAGAGGTATAGACGTGGAACTTCCAAGCACCAGATTCTTTGAAAGATCGCAGATCCATCAACCATTTAGACCGTAAATTATGAAAACATGCATTATTGGTGAGCTTCAATGGATTACTGCTTTGGATAAATTACGCAGGGTGTAGAAGAATCAAAAGCTACCAAACACCCACGTTAAGTTCAAGTAGCTCCGCTCTCAAATTTCAAAATAGAAAGATTAGTACCTTTTATGACAACGGATCCACTGCATTCTCATTATCCTCTCTTCACAAACGGCTATTCAGCTGAATTGTGGGCAGTTGAAAACAACGAGGTACTGAGGATACATTGGCTGTTTGAATGGATAAGACCACGGAGATGACCGCAGATGTGACAGGGCATTGACAGTTTCCAGGGGTTTTGCAATTACGTGAATGCGAAAACGAGGGGAGTGTGTATTGAAAGGAAGGAAGTGGGGGGACTGATACCATCGGCTCACAGGAAACACAGTGGAGAGGTGCATCGGAACAGATGGTAAATGTCATTCAAGGCATAAAACAGCCAACCTGTAACGAAATGCTGTGTTGCCTCATAATTTGATGGCATTACCATAGATTTTCTGGCATGTGTTTACCACGAAAGCTGTCACGGAGCCGACATTTTTGATAAAAGGGAATAAGTATTGCGTTTGTTGTCAGAGTGTCACCAGGGAAAGACGACCACCACAACCAGCGAGGTGTTTCATTATTCGGAGCACTTGAGCGCGTCCCTCAACGACAAACCCGGCGGACCATAACAACACCCCCGCAACGCAATCGCCAGCTTATTAGTTCCGAGTCTTTAAAAACCACTCAAAATCAGACGGTAAAGAGGTAGAAAATTGTGTATTTCGCCTCCACATTTTTGCCATTTCACATAAGCATTGTTGATTGCTCTATAGAATTGATACTACTCACTCCATTCGTGAGTAGCAAGAGGCGTGCTAAGGCAAGGGGAATGGGAAGACGGAGATTGAGGAAGTCCCTTGCGTTCTCACCCTCCAAGGTTGTTTCCATAACCACGAGGGCATCGCCTGATCTCTGTTTAGGTGAAAATTGAGAGAAGAAAAAGGCATTCAATTTTTAGGTGGTGTCTTCCCCATTTGTATCCAAGCTGCGATTTCAAGGAGATGACCTTTGGTAGGGAAGGCTTAATTCACTCATGTCACACATTTCAAAGCTTAGAATGCTAAGCAAATTAACATTTTATTGCTCTAGGTGAATTACTTGTCTCCTGGTAAATAGGAAATTCCCACAAATTGATAGTTGCTTAAATTGTACAATATTTCCCCAGAACAAAAAGTATGGCAATTTAAAGAAAAAAGCCATTCCCTTCTGCGTAAGAAATAAATAACTGCGTAGTATGCGAAAGGGTCACTTGGAGACTTCAGGACTGAATTACCTGAAGCAGGGATGGGGACAGAGTTGATTCCCCGTAACCACTGCGATACCACTTACTTAATTCTCTCTTTCACTCATCAACTTTTCGCAACTCTATTCCCTCAAATCGTTTTGCGACAAAACAGCATTATTCAATAAACATATACGAAAAATATCATTTTCAAAAGGGAGAAAAGAGCTGTTCTGGTGAGAGGAGCTGAGGAGTGAGTAGCGAAATTTCAACTAAACCAATCCTGCAAGAGAATGTCTCGAAGGCGTATCAAATGTGTCCCGGGTTTTTTAATCACAAAGTAAAGTGGTAGCCAGCCTGGCTATTCCGACATTCAGGTGTGCGCTATGCGATCCAAAATGTCAAGCATGGTTGCACTGATGTGGCAGTCACGATCATGAGGATAGAATAAGAAAAATAAAAGAGGGAGGATGAATACGAGGGGTCAATGGCCGATCCAGATAGGTGAGAGGCAGAACGGTCTTGAAGACAGGGCACGGTGTAACTCACCTTGAACTTGATGAAGGGAGTAGAGGTAGTGGTGGAGGAGGAAGCGGAGGAATGCAAGCTGGGACGCAGTTGCACCTTGTAGATGCCTGACTGACGAACGTGAAGGTTGTAGCCAAAGAGGAGGGCACAGGCCTCGCGTAGCTCGCTGCTTACTGAGGCGAAAGTCTCCATCAATCGGTCGCTGCGGCACCGTTCCATCTGCAGCTGCGACTTCAACTCTGCCCAGAACATAAACAACAAATCAGCGACCAAGTCATCCATCCCTGCCACTTGGCCATCCAATCAAGCGTTGCTTACCAACCGGGATCGGCCCCCTCTCCAACAAATGAAGGGTGGTGTCTGCAACATCTGTGTTTCAGTGGATGGCTATGATCGCATCATCTGCTGTTTGAGGTCCTTTCACCAACATCCGCAAAATTTAGAATGTGTCAACTAGGTGAAAACAGTATTTTGCGGGAAATAAGCGAGCAGAAGGTTGATTATGCCAGCATAGTCGGAATTAGGGCAGAAAGGTGGATCACATCGGAAACGATGAAATGACAAATTGGCGGAGTCTCAACAGCAGCTGATAGAAGCAATCTCGATCTTTCAAGTTTTAAAACATTACTTTCACCATCCCTCCTTGAGGAGAAAAAGAAGTGGATTCACCACCAATGATGAAGTGCAACAGACTGTCATGCAATGGTTCAAGGTACGGAATAACCTTCCCATGACGAAGCTATTTACCAAGAATTGGTTAAAAGCTGACATGTGTTACTGGGTGTGTCCACAGCCCCAGAAACCATTCCTCTTCCAATACGGCAGTAGTTCTCAGTCATCTGATTTAATGTCTGAACATTCGCGTTCAGTCCTCCCGACTGGCCAATATCACCTACGGATTGGCGCTGAATGTGCTGATCATCACCATGAGGCCAAGGCACTACAATCATAATGCCATAAGCAAGCAAGGTGGAACCTCTTCTTCTCTGGCACTGAGTAAGTAGTCATGAGTACACAAGCTCTACCCCCAGACTGCTCATAGGGGTGGGCAAGTAGAAACACGCTTTTTGAAATCGCTGAACATTCTAGCCGAGAACTTAGCAGAATCCCGAGACGTGCACCTCATAACAACAACTACTGGCCTAGAGGTATATAACAGCAGTCAAAGCCTATCAAACTTGTAATGCACTTGTCAAAAATACTACACAATTTAGAGTGGATGTATATCAGGGTGATACTGAACCATCCCGCTAATGCAGTGAGGCTTATAAAACGACGAGAAGCAGGATTTTACAAGGCACGACGGTTCAAGCTCTGAGACAATTTTGACCCTTTTTCAGTTGTCAGAAGCGAAACCAAGAACCAGCTGTGGCAATGACGGGGAATAGGGTTGGTGTACATTCAGCAATTGAATGCCACAATCATGACAATACACCTCCCTGGAGATTGTCAACGCATACTTTCTCTATGAAGATTTATGTCTCGGACAATCGCTTGGGGGAGTTTATGTCAATTTTAGCGACCCCGCTGCTTTCCAGACAGCTCAGAATAATGTCTACGAGCCCCTCACTATTGAAGCCATAAAGGTGCCCTGATTAAGATTCCACCTGTAATGGAGGCGAGGATTTTTTTATCTCGAAACTTCGTGATAAAGCAGTAAATACCAATATTTCCAAATCTTAGAAACAAGTAAATAATCTGCCTCCTTTCAGCACCGCTCAAACCAGGAGGCTTCGAATTGAGTATCCAAAAAAGAAAAGAAAAATGAATCTAAGACCGTCTTCTAGGTTGTTGTGATTAAAATAAGGAGGGAGACCTTAGCCCAGGCGAAATAAATGCGCCTTTAAGGATGAAGTGGGAAAATCATAATTAGTTATTCGATTCTGGCGAGGAATTTATTCAACAAAGTTACAAAACACTAGCAAATAAAACGTTTGGCAAATATTTTTAGGTCAGGAGATAGATTACACAATCCAGATCGGGAATGTTGCAGTCATTCTTGGGCAGTTAGGACTATCCAGGAGCACATTATTAAAGAAATTTTCTCCATATGATTCCCCTTCAAGTCAAACTGGGACTTTGGGGTTTAAAAAAAAGAGAACGTCTTAAGAGGTGAAAACTTAATTTACTCCTCAATGTGGAAAATTTGTCAGTACGGCTGAACCGACTTAGGGTAGGCTGCATCACTTTGTCTTCGCCGCCGGTACTCAGTGCTGGCTAGCCTCCCAAAATTGCAAATGCTCATGCGCAATGATTGCGTTCGCTATTCTCACTGAAAGTGGTGTCACTTGTGCAATCTCACCAGAGCTGTGGGTCGACAATCCATCAGAAAGTAGGAGCGCCTACCACGCACCACCACTATTGCCTGCTATCATAATTACCAATGCCCGGACTAATCCATGGCATGCTCGCCGGGTACTCTGGACGCAGTACCTCCATGGAACCACTACTCTACCCCTGTACAATTGAAAATCCCAATTTAACCTTAATCCATATGTCGAAACTATTCTCTTTCCCCTTGTGAAGGACGCTACGGCGATCCTAGTGGAGTGCCGACTTTTCCACCAAATACACCAAAGCATTCATCATCAACTTGATCCCAACCGCTACTAAAGCCACTTAAACTAGCAAAAAAATGAGCGGCTAAGTAGTGGTAGTGGAGTTTGCGTGTTCCCTTCGGTGGTAGGAAAAAGGGAAACCTAAGAAATACTCATTAAACGCCAACAAATCATTTGGATATGATATTTTTTCCAACCGAGGTGGAAATGATCCCTCCAAAACGTCATTTCCGGTAGTGTGGTTGTTGATTGAGGAGTCAAAGAAGTGTGCTACTTTTCAAAACAAAAGTAACGCATCAATCTAGTCATTTAGCATATCTATTTTTAAAAAAGTACGTATGGACTAAATGAGGTTGCCTACTTACTCGAAATTAGTAACGCGACCCAGATGGTGCAAATGCAAAAGCTCAAATCAAAAGGGAAAGTAGGCCACTTAACGTCTGGGCTCTAACAGTTCTGACTTTCTATTTGAAAGGGATTCCAAACTCAACAACTCAAAATCGCCACGAGTCTCCTTACCTGGGGCGCAGCAAAATGGCATTAAATGAAATTTTACTCCCTACTAAAAATCCGCGCTCAATTTACGAAATAAGACAGAAAAAATGCAACAACACCATCACGCTCTCCCTCACGCATTGTTTAAGAACACATACCCCGATTAGGTGGCTATATAGTGAGGAAGGAGGAGAATGCTTAATACAATGAACTAGCAAGCCCTCGCAGTCAAATTATCGCAGAGGAGACAAGGTGGCGCGGTGGCATTTGGACAGTGGTGGAGATGCTACGGCAAATTAGCGACTGAAATTATTCGAACTTTAAAAAATGGCATTAGCAAAGTTAGCTAGTACAATCAAGCAGCAATTTTACCCCTTTTGTCAATCACGGTTTCATGACATCGAATGTATCATTTGATGACACATCCAAACCAAAGTTCATTGATAACACATCTCCGTCACAAACGAAAATGCTAAGAGGACGCCTTATAAGCGAGAAGGGGTAACTTACTCTGAATCTCCGAGAGAGGATCTGGATGATTCTTAAGGCTTTCTGCCACCGCCATCGTCACCTCACCCAACTCCGGGCTGGTTTCGAGGGCACCACCCTGACCGCGCGACTCGTAGAAGCGTGCAAGACGATCTTGCAGAATCTGGAGGAGTACCATGTGCACAAGGCAATAGTAAATTACGGCCCTACCTTCGAGACAATTCAGAGCCTTTATGAATAATAGCGTTAAATGTAAAGACTGTCGCGGACAATTTACCTCATATTGGTTATATTAGCGTATTTCAAATCATTTCATGAAACATGCTCTTTAAGTCCAGGGAAATAATGGTCTTAAAACTACTTCGATGATGCCCCTCTTGCTTCACGCACATCTAATTTGGATTTGGCTTCATATTTAAGTCGGCAAGTTAAACCTTCTATAACAATTCTTCTCATTTCCCAATTCACAAAACAGGGTTACTTGAAAGCAATCCACAAATTTTACTGGTAGCAAGGCTCACATTAATGCGTTGCTGTAATTGGGCATTCTCCTTGCGTAAGCCAATCACCTCTTCCTCTCGACTGCGCTTCACCCTGTCAGCTGGATTGGCGAGGAAATGGAGCACCTTCGTCTCGTCTGGATTGTACGCACCCTTGAGAACAAACTACCGAGTTAGTCTTGGTCACAACAAATCCTAACTTCACAAAGCGCAACTTACACACGCCCGCATGCATTCGATTTCCTGCTCAGCCGATTGTTTATCCCTCTCGATTCTTTCCAAACGTTGTTCTAATTCACTAATGGTTTCTCTTAACGGAAAAAAAATAGAATGATACCAAATTCCCTAACTCAAAGATTCTATCAAGCGCACAAATTTGAAAAGCCCACCGTAATTGTTGAATGGTTTGACGGTCAGTTGATGAAAGAACCAAATCCGCAGAGGAGACATCAGCCTAGGATGAAAAGAGACAAATTAGTTTCAACAGCACCAAACTTCATCTGGTGAACTATGGAATAAGCCGGACAACGTACAACAGAAACCGCGTGCGCGCCACCCGAGACATAAGCGACTTCATCAATCAACCGTTCAATCTCGGCGTCATCAGACTCAGCCTGCTGATGGAAGACCTTCAGGGAATCTGAAATACGTTCAACCATCTGCTGGAACTGATGAACTAACTCCCCAGCCGGTGAGGCTAGAGTTGCATCCGCATCATCATAGCTGCTCACAAATTGCTTGTACATATCCCGCTCCTGTGCAGTAAAATTCACTTACTACTCGAGTAGCGACGTGTTCAGCACAAAGCTACTTTTACATACTTGTTGGAGAATCTTAAGGCGCCGACTGAGGCGTCGAAATCGGCTTTCAAAACATTCTAAGGTGGTTTTCAGTTTGGATTCTTCAACCGTAGCTGCAGAATACTTCGTCTTTAGACTTTTCAACTCTACCGACGTTGATGTTAACCTAGAATTAGTAAATAGCAGCGTATTTGATATACTCGCATCTAATTTGACCCATTTCGGAGAGCAGGAGGGCATTTTCCCGTTGGCACTGAGCCAAAGCGATTCGCTTCTCCTCCAGTGCCTCACTTGCAGCGGCAGAGCTTTGATTGGCTAGCCTCTCCTCGGCCAATAGCGCGCGCTCTCGCCATTCATTAGCTCGTTCAAGGCGAGCGTTCAAATCCTCCAATTGGGCGCGGGCAGTGACCAATTGGGCTTCGGAGCGTCGAAGTTCGCCGTTTTCGCTCTCCAGCCGAGCTACGCGCTGTTCCAGGCGAGTGCTATGGAGGAGGGAGGAAGAACGAAGGCAGAGGCCAGAACCGTCCGGGCGGCTCAGAAGGCTGGAGGCATTGCCAGGAGCGTGAGCCGCCTGTTCCAGTTGCTCTTTTAGATGAGCATTAGCCGATTTCAGTTCCTTTTAGAAAAAAAACTACCAATGAATAGGTAACCGCGCTATCACGTTATAATTAAAACGCGTTTTTGATTAAAAAACAGTTGCCTTTGCAATCATGTCAAAAAATGCAGTTAGAACTCTGACAGAACGGACTTCACATCTGTTAAAGTAACACCTAACACAAATTTATATTTACACCGAGAGACTCAGCAGTTATGGGTAAATTGGGTCGCTATCAGCCACGCACATTATCAAGATGCACTGTTTATAAATACGATATCAGAATCATGGGAATCTCACTGCTGCTCTGGCACTAAGATACAGTCTAAGATGTCAAGACAAGCATAGAGAAATCTAACATAAGTCGGCGGAGTCCGGTGACTAAACAAGAAGTATCTCACAAGTATGTTGGGGCTCTACTGGAAGTGTGATACATTCCAGCAAAATTAAATTAGGTGAGAAATTACAGGAGCGTGATCTGGTTCTTCAATTTGTTGGGAAAAGCTCCAACGGAGAATGTTTTCTCCTTAATAGCTCCAAAAGTTCATAAACACTAAGACTAGTTCGATAACTACTGCTAATGGAATACCCTCAATGCTAGGAGTTTGTAGAGGACAGAATTAAAAGGAACATATTTCTGAAGATGAAAGTAGAAATACGAACGAACTCGATCGAGTTAGCAATGCAGTCATCAAACTCGATTAACATTCGATAAACAAATTAAATTCATCTGTAGAGTTGTAGAGTAAATGTGCAGGACCTTATTCAATAAAAAAGTTACCAAGGACAACATTTGGGACAATGAAGCAGAAGTCTTGCACGCTTTACAGTTCCTGGGAAACGTGCTCCAAATGTTGACTACCAGGTAAACACTACTTTTTTAACCCTTATGGCACGCACTTACACTGATTTCGTTCCTCAAGGACTCTGCCTCCTCCAGGGCGGCTTCATTTTCATCGCAAATACGTTGCAAATCGCTCTGTTTTCTGGAATAGAAAGCAAAGCAGGAACCGATTTTCACTGATGAGCTGCGTCATGACTATATCTTCCTAACTTGAAGATGACTGGTTATCTAAGTCAGGTCAGCAAAAAATCACGGTTTCAGCAATGTACCTTTGCGATATGCTCAATTCAGATCGAAGAGTTTCCATTTCAATTTGAAGGTCCCTAATTTCCACAGATTTCGCCTCCAAATCCGATCTTAACTTTGCCATTTCCGCATTTACTTCATCAACCCGCTGGAAGATGTAAGAAAAAATGATAAATAAATCGACCATAAGCGAAGCTAGTAAGTTGCGCTCAAGCACAGAAAATGCTTTACCTCAGCTAATCCATCCTCATGCTTATAGGCAGCGAGAACACTTGCAACTCTCGACTCTGCATCCGCCTTTGCCTCCTCCACCCGCTTATGTAACTCGTCATTGGCTTCAGTTGAGTCTTCAAAGCGCTGTTCCAAGTTCTTCAACCGGATTTCCAGTTCTGCTTTCTCTGAGGCCAGCAACTGGTTCTCTAGACGGGCACGTTTTAAGTCCCTCTCAGCAGTAATCTGCGCCTCCTTAAGAGCTGTCTCCAATGAACGCTTTTGAGCAACGAGAACACCACGACTAATTGATTCTGTGATATCCAAAAGACGCTGTTGATGCGGAGGTGGCAACAAAATCGAATTCGTGCCGGAAATGGATGAAACGGAAACGAGGCTTGTGGAGTCCAGTGTTGACTTGTGGTCATCCATATTTACAATATACTTGTGGTCAAAAAAATGGCATTAAAAAGACCGGCTATTATTATAGCTTCAAAGATTACATAAAGACACCACTAAGGACCATAGTCAAAAAAGATCACTCGGCGAAAACCAGTTATTTGAAAGAGTTCAATCAGCCACAAAAAATTTCACCTAAAGATCAAGCACACCAGTAAGACTTGTGGTCAGTAATGCACACGAAGTCAAGTAATAAACCTAAATGAAACAAGGATAGTAGGCAAGTATAAACAAAACAATGTCCAGAGTAAATTGCAACATAGCAGCCCAAAAGAATTCATTATTAACTTAAAGTTCAAAAGTGCAACTTCTGAAGTGTTGCTGCTTTACATAATTTTCAAATCTCTTATTCTAAAAGACTTCTACGTACACCGTCATTTTACTAAAATGCACAAATAGTTTAACTCAAAATAAGCAGTGTATCGAAAATTATTGATGTTTCGGTTATATGAAGATGTTGATGCTAATGAATAGCACATGAGCACTATCGGGATATATTGTAGCATTAAAGGCGAATGAAGGCGTAATATTCGTGCAGGAATGGTATTAGAGATCACCAACATGGTCTAAAGGCCGTTTTTGCAGTGAACATATAATAGAGAAGCCCTAAATGCACCGTTAATGAAATCAAGGGTCAAATAAATTAATGCGTTACACTTGCAAATGCCGACTCCATCTAACGACGCCTAGTAATTTGGAAAGTGGAGCCTTTTATCCCCAGCTTGAACAATTTTTCCTAAGTTGCAAAAGTGCATTCCTTGATGTCTAAATTCACCCTATCTGTGACGAGTTTAAGTTTCGCACCCTCCCACATTTGCTTCCTCATTCTTTGAACAAGAAGCTCGGTTTGAGTAGAACATCCCCTATTTGATAAGGCTATCGGGAATCAAGGCTATGCAGGTTCCGATTTGACTTCCTTTTCAGAGGTTAATGGCATCCGCTTAGTCACGCCGTTGGCGTATAGTGACACCTTACATAAATTGTACATCCAAGCAGACACTTATTTCAGTATTAGCATCGAAACCACTTTACTAGTCAATTTGTAATGGATGCGAAGCGATACGCATGGTCAGGAGTCATAACAACAAGAAGGGAGGATAAAAACCCCAAAGCCTATACGGGCTCGTATAAATCTAGACTTCCAGACTCGATCATTCGGCTAGAATACCCCATTCCGCCATCCTACCGATGCATCATCTAAGGTCATCTTTTAAGTTTTAGCAAGCCATACCAGTATGGAGGATCACTCAACATTAAGGTAAGGCAGGTATCAGAAGCTGTAGACATGAGTCTGCGTATTTATATGTACGGCCGATCAACTCCGGAACATTTCCTAAATGATCGGCAACTTCATTAATGCTAATTAAAGTAAGACGATCATGCACATCCCTGAACTTTTTTTTCGCTTTGTTAACTCATCAAGAATACCAGTTAGACGATAATAACACCAAATGTTAAATACAAAGTGCAAAAATATCTCCAGCATCCCCCGTGAGAACACCCAAACATTTGTGTCAGCTGCCGTAGCTAATCAAGCATCTGCCCAAATTCGGAATGGGCGGAAATTCCGACTTCTCGATTACACCGATCTCATCCATTAAAGGGAAGACAGGACTTTCATCAAGGCACCAATACGTTTTTATTTATCTGGGGTTTAAAATGTATTTACTCCTAGAGTAAAAAAAGACATGCTTTAAAACAACTAACAAAGAAGTGACTTGTATATCTCAAAGAAAGTGAAGGTTAATCCAGTAGAAAAACCAGCCTTAAGCATCGCTGGCGTCCATCCCTTGAAGACGCCCATGAATCCCTCCTCCAAGTAAATGTGCCATAGACAGTCCGCAGTTACCAGACCGAATTCACTGTTACTCTTCACTGGAAGACGTCCAAAGTGCCTCCTCGCCTCCTCAAAACCAACTGCCTGGAAGCGTTTCTTCACTACGTCTAGTGGATACACTGCAGACCTCGCCAAACAACCCGCAACCGCGCCAGAAAAGAGGGTCAATAGAATTGATGAGTCTGGGGGAAAAATTTGAGGACTAGCATCGACTGCAAAATGTGAGTACACATAATTTCCATTCAAAAGGAAACACACTTTGGAATCCGCAGAACCACCGCTTTAGCCCCTCATAAGTGGCAAAAGCAATTGCGTTTTGCGGCACAATAAGGATGAGAGAGGGAGCGAGACCTCGCCAAAGTGATGCTGGACCCTCGTTTAAAAACATCTGTTGGACTCCGTGGAAGAACCCTTGGTAGATTTTTACGTAACCCTGGCCCGCCAAGCGAGTGCGAAGGACGTCAATGGGCTGGCAAATGACAGTTGTCATGCCACCAGCCATCCCGCCTGCCACTGCGTCATTCAAAGCCGTTCGATGGCAGTGCAAACAATTGACAGACCAATCAGAAAGCGTGTGGAAAAGGAAGAACTTGAATCGGAAAAAAGTTGGCATTTCAATTTCTGTTACAGAAGGAAACGAAGTCATCTTAAGGCGTCGCATATACCTAGCCGTACGAGCTATGTATATCGTAGTTCAAAATCATCCTGGTCTTACAAGAAGTTGTGCAGAGATCCATGGGCCAAGCAACCGCTTTAGCGATCAACCAACTTTGAGCTCAAGTGAATAAATTGGCTGCATCGCAATGAGTTTGAACAAAATTTTCCAATCTCCTAGTCCGACAACCAAGCCGCACTTTTCGGACGAAAGCCTGGCTTGAGAACGGAAAGCATCACAAAAGAACTTGATTCTGATTAAATGATTCCAAAGACCTCAAAATTGCGTAAGCTTTTACGTGCCAAATTCCAAGAAGTATCCTTTATGCCACAGAATTTGACCATGCTCACTTTAATCTAGGTCATTAAAAGGGCATGCATAACAACTGATCCGGGAAACCATCAGAGCCAATTCATGCGGAGCAGAGAATAACAAAACGTGTATTTTTTTCTCTGCAGTTTATTTATGCAATAAATGCTTGTTTATAGTAAGAAGGAACTTTCACAAGTTCGCATTCAACTACTTCGGCATACTGTCTGTGTTTGGAGCCTTCCAACTACATGCACCCTACTAATAAATCTCCCATGTCTGCATGGTAGCATGGGCTCAGAGATAACGTAGCGCAATATATCGGGAAAAGCAGTAAGTAAGCATGATTTAAATTAGTAGGAAACGTGATTTCATTTACTGGATAACAAAGCTAAATGCCACAGAAGAAAAGGATCTGATATGAATGACAAAATCTGTTAATGGACGCCAAGGAAAGACACCAGCTTTCGCCAAAACCCTGATCTCCGGAAGCTTCACAGTTGCCATTGATTGGGGTGGGGTTTAACGAGTCGGACATAACGCAAAATAGGCATTTAGAATAAGATGGTAAAAAGCAATTGTTTGCAATATAGCTTGAAAATATCGTGCCAATCACCCTATCCTTACCCCTAAGCTTTTATAACGGAAACCACCCAGCGCGTAATGTGAAAAACATGCACTAGCTTTTCGCAATACCTCCGAAAACCGACACTTGACGTCTTAGTTTCCCTTGCAGAGGGCAAAATATTCAAAACAGCAAACACCTACACAGCATGCATACCCGAACATTGGTTGCATCGTATCATCATCGTTCCAGTCTAGTAGTTGACATCGATTTGCTAGAAAAGTCATCACAGCCGGATGAAAGGTGACGACTGGGAAAGAGGTTTAAAAGACGAACCGGACTATGTAATACACTGACATTTTAAATTTTAAACATGCGAAAAATTTAAAGCCCATGAATTTTACCAATATTACGTTGTTCTGGCCTGTTGCCAAGTCTAGAACCTCTCAATTCTTCTGTGCACTAATAGCATACCTTTCAATATATAGATAATGCCTATAACGACTGCAGGGATGGCTCCAGACGCAAAATCCAAGTAGATAGATGTGCTAAACGTGGCTGTAGTTAACCAGCATATAGCTGAGCTTGGTAAAGAAAAAATTGATACGATGTAAGAAATAGTAACCCCAAAATACACAAGAGTACCATACCCAAGTAAAGACAAGGATACACAATTAAAAGCGGTGAGTCGAGCACGTTTGAATAAAAAGTCAAATTCATCAAAATAAACTACACACAGCGAGCATGCTAAAGTTTACGCAAAAAGTCCAGACATCAATAAAAACAGACTCAACAGGTCAGACCTACCTCAGAGCTTGTAAAAATCACAGAAAGGAATTGGCCGGCCAAATGTCCCTTCCAAAGACCACATACACCCTCCTCTCTTAAAATTCTTCGAAGGGCTTGAGATATGCCTTGGTAGTAGCCGCCATTTCGATCAGAAATACTTTCAACTTGAAGCTGTATGGAAAAAGTGTAGAAGTTTTCGGCCATCTCATCAAAAAAGACACTAGCATAAGTCAAAACCTACTTGAAAGCGGATCTTTAATACGTCTAGAGGTTGCGTTAAAGCGCGAACTGAAAAACCAGACAGTGAACCAGCTATTGCATCCTTCCTGTTGTCACTCATTTGATGCCACCATCAAAAACGGCACCCCCAAGGTATTTCACATAAAACACTTTGACCTCAGTATATTGATCTATATAAACCACTAAAATAGTCATTTATTAGAATTCACAGAAATCTAATAGTTAAAAATTTAGCCTAATTATCGAAAAGTAGGTTCTTATAATTTGTAACGAAACCGCTATTTTTGAAACATGTCATATTTTTCAAAGATATTGTAGCATCGCGAGACTCCCTAAAGACGAAAGAAGACACAATGCTCTGGCAGAATATATACATTCAGCACGGAGGAGGTGTCTAGGCTATTGGCATGGCCCAAAAGACCAGCCCATTAAGCGAGGTACAAGGGGGCTAATTCAAAGTACAAAAGTGGCGCCTCACCAATACCGAGGGATAAACCACTATCGTATTACACTTTTATGCTGATTATTAAAAAAACCTACAGAATTCTGAAGTAACTTTGCCTTTTGGTTCTACACGGCAATTAGTGGTATCCATCCGGATTGAACTATCCCCACGCAAGTGCCGCATGAACGGGCAAATATGGCTTGCCTAATAAAAGATCACTGTCTTAACTCAAAAGCAAATATTGGCACTGCGTAATGTTTTGGGCCTTTTTTAGGACAAAGGACGTTTTAATGCTAGGACGGAGGATGTATTAACGACATAAAGGAAAGCTGGGGGTCACTGGCTTGGTCCGCAGGCCATGGAGCCTAGTGGAAGCACAAAAGCGGAGATTATAGCATCTGCAAAACCCAAATAAAGGGGTAACTATGTAATCAAAGTGCTATGGTCACTTCACTCGCTTTATTTTTAATACTTGCTCCAAAACTAGCTGAATATTTGTCAAAATTATTTTAGATTTACTCTAAGTGAGTCAAGTGCAGACTTACGGTAGGTTATTCTAGGTGTTTTATCCATTGTGCACAAGAATACCAGTTATTACGAGAGAAATCTGAGTCGCATAACTTACGGCACATTAAATATGCACAACTAAGATCAGTGTATTTATTAATGCTCAGGGTTCGCGTGCACGGGCATTTAATTCTTTGCAGTTTGTACCTTTACTCGGCAGAATGACCTCTGGCCCATGCCAGTAGTCTTTCGGCCCTTCTATATGTTAGTCATGTACCTTCTCCCATACCACTGTATCTTCATGACGCTTTGGGGAAGACTCGGAATGCTATGTGTTATAAATAACAAAAAAGGATTTCTTTCTCTTTTAGAAATTTACAACACTACTGTACTTTACAATACACAGTAGTGCTCAAATCGCATCGTGAGCAGGACCCGGGTCACCAACGAGGGCGGTAAGATGTAACCATGTAGTTGGCATATTTGGTATCAAAGCACTGAAGACTTCGGAGATTATGGAGCGGTGGTTCAAATGTGATAGGCTGCAGAAACAGGGCAGTTTAGTGCGCAGGTAAACAAATATCAAATCGTTAAATAGTCCTCTCTTTACCAAGAAAGCATTACCCTCGGTGGTCTCCATGGCTTTGCGTTCGCAACGACCTTCATCACGAAATTCTAGCACTTGCAAACCACTCACAGGTCGTAGCCAACAAAAATAACATTTCAGCCTCCTGTTTTAAATTCCTACAATCAAGAAGCTTGGTTAGCGGAAAACATTATGCATTGCGGAAAAATGAGGTTGTACAAAAGACACAAGCTTTATGCAGGCATTGAATTTTATCTCCGCCATCGTCGTTACAGTATTGCCTGACTTAGGTTACGTTGGAGAAAGTTATTCCATACAGGTCGAAAGCTTTAAAATGAATGCGGAATGTGGTTGAAAAAACAAAAAATCGCTGGAGTTCTTAAATTGCGAAAACCTTTATGGAATCAGGAATGACAAAGTGGTTCAAATTCCCCTACAATTGCACCCTATTGTGTAATGAAATGTTATAGGTCAGAATTTTGGTTGTTTTTGGAACAATTTGGGCGGGCGACACAAGGGATGGTCAGTGCTTACGGGTTCGCATGAATTGCAGTTTTGGTAAACAGATGAATTCACATAAACCTACTCCGACTTTCTGTTCTTAAGTAAACAGAGTTAGTAATCTGGTCAAGGTGAATTTGATGTAGGGTCAAATCCAAAACCCCAAGGTAGCAAGAAATGAACCCAAGCAAATAGTATTGTAGTATTTTCGCTACTTTGTTTCCCGCTTCATAACCTTGGATCGGGCAGTGCGTGGAAATCGTGGTTGGTCTTTTCTGCGAGACTCCATGACACCGTTTCGGTCACGAATTCGGTTCAGTTCTCCTGTACGCCACCTGAAAAGGTGCGTTCTAACAAACATAATAGTCCTTGTATCTTTTCAGTTATACCATGACCACTATGACATTTAGCTGAGGCGATTTTGCTAAGGTAGAAGTAAAATGCCCAACCAGCAGTCGAAGAAGTTTAGGCTGTATGTGAATTTGTCGACACAAGGTAACCAAAAATTCAAACTTTGACGGCTTTGCAAGAAAGGCAGCCAAACACAAAGCGAAAGAAGGTACGACCAAAAAATTGCCCAAATGCAATTCAGAAAATAGTCATTTTGAGAATTTCGGGCATTAATAATTAAACCATCGTGCTAAAAATTACCAGAAAAAAGTTCGTGCTGCCAAATTTGCATTCAAAAAAGATGACATCAAGCGTGGAAGGAGATCCAATTGTCCCGCCCGCCCTCGGCTTGCATTGCCCTATCGATCGTCGTCGGCGGAGGAGGAAGAGACCGCCTCGGTCTGAACGCTGGAATTTGATTGGCTGCGGTGACCAGCAATGCCGACTCCTTATTGGCTAAGGGGTGGGAGCAGACGTTTTGGCCGATGGCACTGTACTTGCCGCTGCGCCGACGTCGCCTCCACCCTCGGGCACTCACACCAACACCCCGCTTGCGTTCACGCGCTAAGCCCTAAGGTGAGTTGCTGGTTTCACCTCCAGCATCACTTTGCATCAAGGTAAATGTCCTGCATACTTTTGTTTTATTGATATCTAACTTTCCCATTTAAAAAGGGGAAACCACTGAGTTTCAAAAGAGATCATTTTTTTTCTCTCTTCGTACAAATTAATTGATGTTGGTGACTCAAAGAGTGAAAACTGCTTCACTGTCATCATCGGGGCTACAGTTAGCTGGTTGCCTGCTCTGTTGTTTTAATCTTCCGTTGCCGTGGTAACGCATGTTCGGAATCTTTCGTAAACTCATCAAAAGGCCCTTCACACTCATAAGATTACTGAGTATTTTCTCAAACAGGCAAATTGAAAAGCTCTTCTGCTTTATCAGGCTAAGGTATCCAAGTAAAGCCGCTGAAATAAATCCAAATCTTTTTCGGGTATGGGGGCCGATTCCTCTCCAGCACCAGGACACCCGAATATGCAAAGTGATATTGACAAAAGGTGGCATAATTTGGTCCCATTTAACTTGTTTTATTTTAACATTAAAACTGGAGGTTTCTCTTTTTCAAAAAAACTCGTCTATGCTAAACTTATCATCTAAAATAGTTTAAAAACGAAGCAAATCATTCCACCTTTTTCCTGGTTTTTCTAAAGGCATCTGCGTCACAAAAACGTTCAGAATATTTTCTTGGCAACAGTTAAAATATACTTAAAAATTATGGATGCTTTTTCCAGTTTTTTGTCCACTGATTCTTGGGAGACGTGTTCCTTTAACACCTTCTTAACGCAAAAAGCGCCATTTCCCCCTTTAAGTTATTTCCGAACCGGCGGCTGGTTTTAAATGTCCACATTTTGATTCATCTGCTGTCTTATTTTCCTAGCAAACTCGCATCCAACATCCCATGCGTGCGTAACACCAATTTTTTATCGGCCCTGGACGTCACAAATATGTGTCATGCGTTACTTATCGGTAGCACCTAACCGTGTGTGTCAAACATGGAGGTCGGATTGAAAACGAAAGAACGGGTGCAGGATGCTCTTAAGCTGATTGGGATAATTGCAGCTCTTCCTGGCTTTAGACGGTTGCTCACTGATACTAACTAGCGGGGTCTTGGAACAATAAATCGGCAGCTCTCTAGTGCTCGATTTGCCTCGGGGACAGCCTCAGTGACAAGCATGTTAGAAATCTTATTTCATCAAGAAGACAATGATGGGCTATTTTTTATCCTCTTATGACTTTAACCATGCTCGTTTGTTCAAATATTCCGTGATAGATGAATCCCAAGTTTATGACAGGCCGTAAAATTTTATTTGCACTTTAATCACTATCTCATCTCTAGCCACCGTTTTGACTGGCCTTTGTGTTTTTTAACTTAAAAAATTTCCTTAATGGATTTAACTGGCAATTTTACCAGCTTATGTGCTTTTGAATTTTAACCACTGCAACGAAACACTTTGTTTAAGTAGGTTCAGAAGCTGCGCGCAATGCGAAGTGCAAGACAGTCTGTATGGAAAAAGCAGAAGTGGCTGAATTATTTCCTCAACTACCAAAATATTTCATTTGACTGGGAAAATTTAAGACGTTTAGGCACGTTTGGTGTGAATGGCGAATTACAGGTTTGATCCGCTGGTCTAAGGCAGACAAATTTGTACCATGGAAGCACAATAAAATAATCGGGTTTTTTTCTATTTTAGTGATTTTTGCTTTCATTTGGCGCGGAAAATTCGCTTAACTGCCTGCTTAGAATCTTGTGGTAGTACTTAAAAAAGTGCTCCAACTCCAGGGTACCGCTTTTATTCATCCGTTCCTTT